AGAGACCTTACTTTGCCATGGCCGCCGCGCGGCCCGTCCACTTCCGGTGCCGGTGCCGCTAAAGCTGCGCCATCCCCCAGTCACTCGGACAACCACAGCTTCCAACCGACCTTTTTGACAAGTCCGCGACTCCTCCGACCTTCACTAGGTGCTGTCCTGGAGTGAACGGCGGATAGGTGCCGCACTAAAATGAATCTATGGGATGAAGCCTCGGCTCTCCTCTCGCCAGAAACATAAAAATGCGATAGAGCTGCGACCACCACCGCTCAGACAAAATGGCGCCGAGAAGCCGGTTTAGCGCAGGCGCCTTGGAAAGACCCTGCCCCGCCCCCGTGCAAATCCTGGCTGCAGCTCCGGGTTCGGTTTCCATGGGACACTTCGCCGCCAATCCTCGTGCCGAACTGCTCTTCCTGACCCCTCAATTTACCAATCAGTGTTCAGTCAAGCACATCCGGAGTCGCCTCAACCAATCATTTTTCAGGACCTGATTACTCAATACCCGATTCTCCAGTAACGTTAGCCTTCGGAGACAGCCAATCATAAGTGGAAGATGTCCTACCTGCTGTTTTTCTCACCAATCCGTGAAGTTTCATCGCTACATCCAATGAGGACGGCAGGTAGGGAGCTCCAATCCGAAGCTCCTCGGCGTCATGAGCAGCCAATAGGAGTTCGTGTAGAAGCGAGTCTGCTCAACAGCTTGTTATTTGGTGGATTGTGGCAGTAAATCGGGCGAGTGGGGAACCGGGCGCAGGAACTGCCGCCGCGGCCGGGAGTGGTGCTGCCCGGACGGGGGCCCACGGGGGTCAGTGGGGCGGAGGACTCGGAGGCTGACAGCGCGCACTTCACCCGCAGTTGGTAGGTGGGGAGAAGGGAAGTGGGGGATACTGAGTGGACGAAGCGGCAGTAGCAGCTCGTGCTGCTGCCCGGGGTCCCGGTGCAGTTGGAAGCTTCGGAGGTGGGGAGGGGGTGCTGGGCAAGCGGTGCGGCGAGCGCAGGCAAAGGGGCAAGTCGTGGAGCAGCGGCAGCAACTGCAGGAACCGCCGCCGCAGCCGCCTCCTCGGCGGCTTCCCCGGGAAAATGGCTGTGGTGCTGGCCGCGCCGCTAAGTTTGCTTCCGCGCGGTGAGGAGCGGGCTGCTTGGGGGAGCCGGTCCCCAACTCCGCGGCGCGTCCTTCCCTGTGGAGTCCGTGGCAGGACCCGAGGGTCCGGGGGCAGGTACCTCTCTGGGCTGTACAAAAAGTTGAGGCGGGCGCGGGGAGGAGGCGGCGGCTGCCGCTGTGCGGCTCCCCTCCCCTCCCACACCCTCTCCGGGCCACCTCCCCTCCTCCTCTCCGCCCCCCCCAGCCCCCTCCCTCGCGCGGGTCTCCCCTCACTCTCGCGCCTCCCGGCTGAAGGCCGCGGCCCCTGCCCCATCGGTGAAGAAGCGCTTCTCCTTTCTGACATGGTGCAGAGCGGAGGAAGGAGAGCAATGGCGCCGTGACACTCCGCTGCCGCCACCGCGGGCCCGGGGCGGGCCGAGGGGGCCGAGCGGCGGAGGCGGGGCGCGGGCCGAAGTCGGGGTATCTGGGGGGCGGCTGAGCGAAAGCTCGGCGAACCCGCCTGCGGGGGACCTGGGGAAGCCCAAACGGCGCCGTGCCCTTTTCCAGAGCGCTCGGTCCTGGGGCTCCCGAGTTGAGCATTTCGGGTCAAAGTGGCGAGCAAGGCGGGGGCGCGGTGGGCCGCTGGCGAACTCCGGGGAGGAACGGGCTGCCCTTTGGCGCCCGAGGGGTTCTCGCTGCTTCCTCAGCTCCTGCGTCCTGGCTGCCCTCCGGGGGATCTTATCCCTTCGCTAGTGAGGGTTTAGCCTCTCCCCTCTGGCGTTTGTTTACTTTCTTTCCTTGGGTCGCTCCCCTCTGTTGACTGATTCTGTGCCTGTCTTTCCCCTCCCCATGGTTCTAGCGACGGAGAAGATAGCTCGTTGAGCTGGAACCCCACAGATCACCAATAAAAATGAAGGTAAGTGGAGTCAGCGCTGCTCTGAACCTCGTGCCCTGGACACTGCTTGTCGTGAGGCTGGTGCTGTGGAATGTCATATTTTTTTTCTACTCAAAATTGATTCCTCTACTAAGCAGCGCTTTCTGAAAATGAGAACGTGTTGAAACGGTGAGAAATGATCATTGTGTCTAATGCAGTCAGTCCGGCCCCTCTCTGAAGCAGTTAGCACTTTGGAAAGGCTGGTGCAGCCTTTCCATTGTTGTCCTTTGGGCTAGTATTTTTAACACTTCCTGTGTTGGCAGCAACCTTTGCAGAAGTAAAGCTTTTGTCCTGTTTTGGTTCTTTGGGGGATTTTTTGAAATTTTTTTTCTTCCTCAGTGCCAGTATGATTTTCTAAGGAAGGACTATGTGCATTGTGTAAGGGAGAGATCATTTGTTTTGTGAAAAATTCTGTAGCTAAAATATTTGAAGGTGAACTGATACTAATGTTTTGTTTTAGTTGTCATTATAGTAAATATTTTAAAACCTACGTATAACCTAAAAAGATATATTCTTCTGAAGATAGCTAATAGCGCACACATCGTATGTGATACTTAAAGGGAAAGGAAGTTATAGCATTGTGTACTGCAGTGGCATTGAATATTTCAAGTCTGATATGTATCTTCAATTTGCATTATTGTAAATGCACTAATTTTAAAAGGTACTTGATTCCTTACTCATTTACTGTTTCGGTGTATTAAACTCTGAAATATAGCATTTCCCCAAACTTTCTCTTTCTTTCTCCTGGAAATGACACATTGCCTTCTTTAATGTTACTTGGGACAACTTACTGGAAAAGGAAAAATCATTTTCTACTTAAAAGTGTTATTTCTGAAGTGTACACTGTTACCTTTGCACTTAGCAATATTGAATCAAGCCTATATGAATACATTTAACTTTAGAAAAGAAGTAGGTAAAATGACAGAATAACAATCATTCTGTTACTTCAAGGTTAAAATGAATGGTAGAATGAAATTTCCCACATCTTTCAATGTATCATTCTGATTATGGCCATTTGTTAAAAGTAGATGTTTTTTAATAAAGCTTATTTTTTTAATATACCAGGAAGATTAGTGTGATAAACTAGGTACAGCACCAAGTTTTGAGCCATTAGTTCGTATCTCTGCATTTATCAGCTGAATTTAGACTTAGATTTTTTAATTTTTTATTTTTCCTTATTAAAGATTTTATTTATTTATCTGACAGAGAGCACAAGCAGGGGGAGCGGCAGGCAGAGGGAGAGGGAGAAGCAGGCTCTCCATTGAGTAGGGAGCCTGATGTGGGGCTCGATTCCTGGACCCTGGGATCATGACCTCAGCTGAAGGCAGCCACTTAACCAACTGAGCCACCCAGGCGCCCTAAGACTTAGATTTTTTTTAAATGTAGTTTTAGCCATTGGTTCCCCCCAAATAATGCTTTCCTTATGGAAAGCTTCAATGATTGGCTTCATTTCTTATCTATGCAGTTATTCTGTATCCAAAAAGATATTGCTTTAATGTAGCTATATTAAACATTTAACTGTGTATTATTAGCATTAATCTTAATAGCAATATTTCTTCTAATTTGAAGACAAAATTTTCAGACCATAATTAAATAACTTAAAGTCTTATGAAACACTTACTATGAATATACCTTTTCTGATTTTGGAGGTTTTGTTTTTTTGTTTTTTTTTTTTATTTTGTAATTTATTATTATTTTTAAAGTAAGCTCTACGCCCACCATGGGGCTTGAACTCACCACCCAGAAATCAAGAGTCGCATGTTCTACCGACTGAGCCAGCCAGGTGCCCCTGTTTTGTTTTGTTTTTAAATGTGTTCATTTCTTAAATAAATTATAGAATTGTTGAAACATTTTATATCTGGAGGAAAAAACATTATCATATGTCCTTACTGATACTTCTCAGTTAAAACTTAAAATGTTTTCTGTTGTCAGGATATAGTTTATGTAGTAAAGGAATGTAATTGCTTGCTTTAGGGGTATTTTCCAAATTATTAATGACATTAGTAAAAAATAATATTAATGTTCTTACTACTTTAAATACAGAAACTTTTAATGAGGCTTGAGGTTGGAGAATAGTAGTGACATTCACATTTTATGTTTTTTCATCAGGCGGCGGATGAGCCTGCCTATCTGACAGTGGGAACTGATGTCAGTGCCAAGTACCGAGGTGCCTTCTGTGAGGCAAAAATTAAGACTGTGAAAAGGCTGGTAAAAGTAAAGGTAATTTTTTTTAATGCAACCTGGATTGAAGAGAATTGGGGAGGGGAAGACTGCAAATCAACATTTTATTGAATCATTATTATGTGAAAGCACTGTTTTGTACAAAACTGTTGGAAAAGCACATTAAGAATTAAGAAATAAAGAACTCAAAATGAGAAGTTATTCCAAAATGCTTCTCTGAAAACACCATGTTTATGAGACTTCCTTTTATTTGGCTCTCTGCTGTTGTGGCATGCTTACTTAGGCTATGATCTATTTTCTTCCCTTTCATAATGTTTAGGTAGAGATGATTTCAAGTGATTATTAAAAATAATATAGTGGAAATTGTTTTTAAGACAGTGTTAAAAAATGATTGAAGAATTTTATTTATTTATTTAAAGATTTTATTTATTTGGCAGAAAGAGACACACAGCGAGAGAGGGAACACAAGCAGGGGGAGTGGGAGAGGGAGAAGCAGGCTTCCCGCGGAGGAGGGAGCCCGATGCAGGGCTTGCTCCCATGACCCTGAGATCATGACCTGAACTGAAGGCAGACGCTTACCGACTGAGCCACCTAGGCACCCAAGAATTTTATTTTTAAGATGCTTTTATGACCAGAAAAAAGGTCACCACATTATTCCTGTACAATATTTGGAAATACAGAAAAGTACCAAAGGATTAATACCCATAGCTTACCTCTCAGAAACTACTATTAACATTTTTGTGTTTCCGTCCAGTAGTTTTCCTATATAAATATTTTTAGTAATCTTACTAAAATTACAAGTGTAATCCGTATTTTATTATAAACATCTTTAACATTACAGAGCTGTATAATAAAGTTCATGAATGTCCTCTTTGTGATACCACTCCAGAAAGATTCGATATGGTCTGTCAGATACTATGCAGTGCCTACCATAACAGTATTGTTGTTGTTGTTATTGGATCGTGTTGTACTTTCAGTTTTGCAGTTTGCTTTTCACTTCCATTATCTGATCTTTTCCTACAAGAATTAAGCACCATAAAAGGAGGAAATGTTAGACTTGTTCTATCCCCAACACCTAGAGTAGT